AGTCCTTCGGGACACGCTCATTCTTCCAGCCGGGCATTGCGATGATACATAAAATGTCCACCAGGAAGCTCACTAGCAGCCCAAGCTTTTCTTGGTGGTCAAAGGCACCCTCTGTCTAGGGCAGGTCAAAATGCCAGACTCCCAGAAGGAAAGCAGATGTCCAGAAGCCACAGTGTTGCATAGTTCAGGTGCAGTGACCAACCTTACCAGCCACTGTGGTGGGGGTCCTCCTGCACCCCACGCTCCCGGAGGCTGACCGCTTCCAGGCAGGCTTTTCCAAGGAGAGCGAGCTCCGGCCTGCTGTGTGGTCTTTNCCCACGCTCCCGGAGGCTGACCGCTTCCAGGCAGGCTTTTCCAAGGAGAGTGAGCTCCGGCCTGCTGTGTGGTCTTTTTTTAAAAAGCAGCTTTATTGAAGTGTAATTTATGTATCGTATTTCACTCATTTAAAGTGTACAATTCAGTGGATTTTAGTACATTTGCAGAAATGTACGTCCATCACCACAACTTTAGAACAGTTTCGTCACTTCAGGAAGATTCATCGTGCCCTTTAGCTGCCCCCATCTCCACGGCACCCCCTTTCCCAGCTAAGCAACCACGATACACCATCTGCCTAGAGTTCTCTGTTCTGGACCCTGAGTGAATAGAGTCATGTAACTCATGGTGTGTTGTGACAGGCTTCTTTCACTCAGCAAAATGTTTTCCATGTTCATCCATGTTGTTCATCTGTAAGTACTTCATTCCTTTTTATGGCCGAATAATATTCCATTGCAGGAACACACACACACGCACGGTGTTTGGGAAGTGTAACCTCTTTGATCTACATTAAAAGCTGAAAATTCTCATTTTATACTAGTTTCATTAGGTTTAAAATGATATAGCATGGTAACGCCTACAAAAATATTTTGAAAAACAGCACTGCTTTAAACTGTGCTGGGCAGTGTGCAGATTTTATCCCCTTAACAGTGGAACCACATAATTTCACCTACTTATTTGTTGTCAGTGTGTACAAATATTGTACTTTTAATTTTATTTTTAAATTAGAGTTGACATACAATGTTAGTTTCAGGTATACATAGCGGTCTGACATTTATATAACTTACGAGTGATCATGTTAAGTTTCGTAACCATCTGGCACTAAATAAGTTATTACGATATTATTGATTGTATTCCCTATGTTGTACGTTACCCCTGTGACTTACTTCATAACAGGAAGTTTGAACATCTTAGTCCCTTCACGTTTTCCCACATCCCCCCACTGCCCTCCCACAGGCAACCGTCAGTTTGTGTTCCGTAGTGTTTGATGTCACGTTGATATTTAAATAATTTTTAATGGTAAACTGCATTTTTATTTTCATATTTTAGAACATTAGTTCTAACTCTTTTATGATTATATATTCAACATTTTAAATATGTATTTAATGTTTGTGTTCAAATAGTAAAGTAGGGGTTTTTCGATTAACCTTTACCTCTATGGGACCATATTTTTTCTTTGTTGTAGAGTTGGTCACATGGATATGAACTGTGGAGCCACTTTGATAACTTCACCTGAGAAAGAGAGAGCCTTCTTTCTTATTACAAGACCATAAAGAAAACAGACGACGGAAGGAATCGTGCCAGATGCCAACGCTACATCTTTTTCAAACCATCAAGACAAGTGGCTTGCGCTTTAAAGAAAAGGATTTGTTAATCGACGTTATTTTTAGGAGTTAAAAAAAATCTTTTTCATCCTAAGCTACACAAATCTCTTTTAAAATTTAACACATATAAAAATTTTTAAGGCCTTGTTTAAAACAGCCTTCTCTTCTAGTTTTCAGAACCTAATGTTTATGTGCCCTGTTTTTGCTTGACAAAGTCCTCAAAACTTTGAGCGTCGGGAAAGACATGGACTCGGGAGCTTACGCCACTGTAATAGACTGCGGTGAATTTCAGAGGACAGTTCAAGGCAGCACCCGTTTCATCAGACGTATCACATAAGGGAATAACTCTTAGCTTTAATGCCAACAGAGTTGCTTGAAAATGGCATGGGTGAAATTCCTGCGGAAACCGAGCGGCAATCTTGGAAAAGCGTACCAGCCCGGGAGCATGCTGTCCCTGGCCCCGACCAAAGGCCTGCTGAACGAGCCGGGGCAGAACAGCTGCTTTCTTAATAGTGCTGTGCAGGTGAGACCCTGATTTCTCTTTACATTTTAGAAAGTGCTTTTCAGGGAATTGTTTGTTTAATGTTTCTTTACCTTTTAGATTAAGACTAAAGTTATTGACTGGAATGATTTTTTAGTATCAGTTCTAATGGTGGCAAAAATATTTTGGCTGGGCATTTTGGTTATAACAAACGGGATTGTTTTTTTTCAACAGAGTCATATTTACTATGATATACACATATTTTTGATTTGTGATAATTACTTAGTAAACTAAGAATATGTTTCTAAGCTACATAAAGTAATCCCTTGCGGTAGAATCCCCGTAGACAGCGTACAGAGAAGCACGCGGCCTGGGTTGAAATGAGAATGCGGTTTCTAGTCTCAGCGCTTCCCGTCTCCCCTCACTGTGGCCTCACCTCTGGAGTCAAAATTGGGACGCCACTGTTTTCGTCCCACTGAAGGTGGATCCATTTTGCTTCAGTCCTTGTTGAAATTCTTGCGCTAACAAGTGCGCATCTACCCACTGCTCTGTCTTTGGTCAATGTCTTTTCCCACGGACAGCACAGGTCTTATCCATGGGTCCAGGTTTTGTGGGTTCCTGAGTCCTGACCTTTCCTAAAGAGAGTTTGGAATGATGGGGTGCTATTCTGGTGGTCCTAGAATCTACCTTAGAAGAATTATTTAAAAGAAACCTTTTTTCACATGTTTTCCAATGCTGCTGTTCCCCCTGAGCGCTGAACAGAACGGTCAGTGCTGGTGATTAGCTCCTTTGTAAGGGCGCCCCTGGAAAGCTCAGGCGTCTGAGGCAGGAGGCGCACCCGGTACAGAAAATGACCAGTGTTGTGTAGGGGAGCGGTGTGTTAAATGGACGCTCACTGACTCCTTGCCGTGAAGATGATTCACCCTGACCTCCGTGGTCCCCGTTGCCGGGCTCAGCACTCCTGGGTGCGGGACAGCCTCCCCCCATGAGCTCTCCCCAGCGGGACCTCCCCGCCTTTCTCAGCCCGGCCGTCGGCACCCAGTCCTTGCAGCATCTGTGTGTCTGGGGAGAAGTTGATTTCTCTTTGTTTGTGAAAGATGTTTTCACCCACTAAAGATGCCTAAGTTCACCATTTTCTCTTCAGTCCTATGAAGATTTTGCTGCCTGCCTTCCTTCTAGTTTGCGTTGTTTCGGATGAAATCTGTCATTCTTCTCTTTGCCCCTGCACGTGTCTTCCTCTCTGTCACTGGGTTATGTTGTGCGTCTCACTCTGCAGGACGTTCCCGAGCGCTCCGTCCTTGCAGGAGCTCTGTGGATAGCCACAGTTACCCCAGGGGAGGACTTCAGGTTGCACAACGGTTTTAAGTACCAGACTGATTTATTTAAACAATTGAAGTCTTATTTCTTTATTTTGCTTTTGTCTTTTAGTAGCAAATGATGCCTGGATAGCTGTAGCAAAAATGTTCAGGTTATTTCTTCACTGGTCTTCCTCCCACACTGTGTCCCATTCCCAGCAGGCCGCCCTTGCCCCTCAGTGTCCAGTGAGTGAGCGCAGGCCCCTGCTCACCCGCACTCACCTCGTTTGCTACACCCTGGTTTCAGGTCAAATCGTATTTCCTCTCTCAACCTCAGTTGGTTCCAAGTATTACAATCGCTTCCTCTTGCCTGTCTCTGCCAAGTCTGCTCAGTGACTCCTGTGTCCTGTCCGTACAGAGTCCTTACCTACGAGCACATTTTCTCTCGCTCCAGGCCTCCGGCCGTGGTGTTTGCATGAGAATCAGTGGGGACGGCTCTAAGCCCGTCCTCTGTAGACGCCCTTCAGGCATATGGCTGTTTCCCACGTGATGTTCTTGCTAGTGGTGTGGGGCCTGATTATGTGCAGGAGACTAAAGGAAATGGGCGATCTGCAGTGTTAAAGACATTGTGTCTCTTTTCTCACAGTGGGAAACGTCTTACTGTGCTTGTTTCTTTCCCCACGCCTGACTGTCAGGTTTTATGGCAGCTGGACATATTCCGGAGAAGCCTGCGGGTTCTGACTGGACACGTCTGTCAGGGGGATGCCTGCATATTTTGTGCATTGAAGGTAACCTTTTGATACTTCTGAAAAATTGCCATTAATTGTTTCTCCAAATGTTTATTTTTATTTGATAGTTGGATTTATTGGACATACTTGATTAGCTTGTTTATAATTAAAGTTCATTGTCAAGTGATTTATAGTTTTGAAGGTGAATTCTTAAAGTGTGACTTACTCAGGTTCCTGTTTGCATTTTTTACTTCTATATAAGGGCAGTTAAATTAATATTCTAAATGGTATGAAATTGTCAGGAACATTACCTTTCATAGTGTTTTGAAATTATTAGTTTGCACAGATGCTTTTTGAGCTACTACTAAATTCTGGTTGCTAAGGAAACAGCAATGAACCAAAGTAAAAACCCCCCGTTTTCACGGAGCTTATATTCTTCTAGGGGAGGGCAAGATAAATCAGCAGCACATGCAGTAAACTAGATGGTAATAGTGGCAGGGGAGGGAAATCGAGCCAGGGAGGGAACAGTCGCGGGGCAGGAGGCCTCACTGAGAGAGTGGCCTTTGAATTAGGTCCTGGAAAGGGTGACAGTGGACTGGAGGGGGGAGGGGTGCCCAGGGTGAGCCCAGGCCCGGTGAGCAGTGGTCAGCAGAACCTGCCTGTGGTCTTCTGTGCTCCTCCTGTCACTCCCGTGTGCGGCTGAGTGTGGGCTGCCTTCACACCTGCCCAGCAGGTGGGATGTGGCGGCAGGAGGCTGCAGACACTGAGGCGAGGTGCCCGGAAAAGGTGCCGAGGCTCCCACCTGGCTCTGTCTGGTGAGTGGTTATTTCTCGGAGTGGCTGCCGCCTAGTGAGGAGGCCTGGCTGGCACCGAGGGCCACCAGCAGGCAGGGCCGGCCACCAGCAGGCAGGGCCAGCCGCCGATGGGTGTCGGTGAGCCGCCTTGGGATGAGTCCATTCCCAGCACACAGTGTGCCCCGTGACCACGCGGAGCAGGGCCTGGCTGTCCCCACCCAGGTTCAGATTTATGCTCTGAGTAAGGCTCTCAGTAACTGAGTTCGGTGCCTTGTCTGGGGTGATGGTAACTGGAACCCGAGTGCAGGTCACTGAGGGCCGCACAGGGTTAGCGTGGAGCCGGGGTCCTATGGAGCGGAGCAGTGACGTCGTCTGTTGTGAGCAGATGTTCTGTTGGGACTAGATCTCGGCTCTGGGATGGAAACAGGAGGAGACTCAGGGGAGAGCAGGGCCCAGCGTGTGTCAGCAGCTCATTCATGCCACTGAAATCGTCCAGGAACTTACGAGTTTATCAGCAGTCTAAGACGGTACTGAGCTCCTGCTAATTTTTATGTGATTTGATGTTTATTTTGGGTGAATGTAGTTTTATTTCCTACACTGCACTTTTAGATTCAAAGCAGCTTATCTCAGAGCTTCCTGAGACCTGGTGAGAACCAGTGGGGGAGCAGCTTACACCTGGGCCTCACCTCGGGCCCACCAGTTGAGGAGTCTGAGGATGGTCCCAAGGAGGCTGGTCGTTCTCACACCTGCTGAGGCTCGATTGAGAGGCCGGGCCGGCCGTTCTGCACAGGGCTTGTTGTGTGGAATTTTAGGGTGACAGACTGTTTACTACTGGTCTCCGAGTGTAGTGTTTGTGTCACTATGTTGTGGTGAAATTATTGACGTGTTCCTGCAGTTGGCATTGAACTCACGCACGTGCTTGTGGATTCGCAGACAATGTTCGCTCAGTTTCAACACAGCCGGGAAAAGGCCCTCCCGTCGGACAACGTGCGGCGCGCGCTGGCCGAGAGCTTCCGGGACGAGCAGAGGTTCCAGCTGGGCCTCATGGACGACGCTGCGGAGTGCTTCGTAAGGACTGCAGCTCAGTGCCCTGGCCGGGGCTCGTTCGCAGGCAGTGAAAGGCGGTCACAGCCGGGGAGGATGAGAGCTGCCCCCACGGAGCTCGGCCCTCTGCGCTTCCTGGGCTCCTGGTTTTGACTTCTGTGCTGCTCCAAGTTTTGTTGAGTGTTAGGCTACTAGAATATTTTAAAATGCAATTATTGGAGCAAAAAAGTTTATTCAGTTAAATGATACCACTTCGGCCGGCGTCCTGCCACCATGGGGCCTGCACGTGCGCATGGCCGGCAGAGCTCTTCAGTAGGTAGTGACCTCCGGGACCCCAGAGGGTCTTTCCGGCACCTCTCTGGCACCAGGCGGCGGGGTTGAGAGGTGCAGCTGAGGCTGAGGGAGGTTCCGGGGCTGCTGCCCCACGTGGGTACGTGGAGCGATCCTTCTGTGGTCAGGTCCGGGCTCCTGCGCCCCTGAAGCTCCTGCGCCCCTGAAGCGTCTCAGTGAGAGATGCCGCCTGTTGAGCCGTGGCTGTTTCTCCCTCGGTCTCACATCCAGCCAGCAGATTCCGTCAGTCCCTTCGCCAGAACCCTTTTAAGGTTCCCCCGTCCTGCTGGTTCCTGCCCCACACCTTCTGCTTTAGGCCTCTGCTCAGCATTAGTTAAGCTTCCTCCCGCGGGTCCTGGCAGCCGGCCCCTCGCAGTCTGCTTTTCCGCGGCACCCGATTAATACAACTTTCTTCAGTCTAAAGCTTGCTGTTCCGAAATTTCTGTGACTCAAATCCAGACTCTCTTCTGACATGTGAGGCCCTGACTGTTAAACTCCAGACGATCTCTCTGCCTTTCCCCTGAGCTTTCCCTCCAAGAGAGATGGACACATTCCTGTTTTCACAGCCCCTGCTCTTGGCCCCAAAGCGTTCAGAACGTTTCTAATCTGTTCGGCTGTTCAGGTTCATCCCTGCTGTTTAATGCAGGATCAGAGCCCCCAGTCAGTCCTCTTGATGTCCGTGGGGTTCACTATCCGTAGAATTCATTTGGCATTTACGTGTTACTGTTGTTTTTCAATGAGCATCTTTACTGTTCCTTAGACAGATGGAACGCTCCTTGACTAGGTAAACTGCTTAGCGTACGTGCCATGTTGATTAAAATGTCTCAAAACAGTACACACCATCACGAAATAGGCTTTTCATGATTCTCATCTTTATAACTAACCATTGCTTAAAATAGAAACAAATACATTTGCACAATACTGAAATCTACAGTTTACCTTCACTTAAATGTGCTAACACATGATGTGAGAGTTCATGGAGCATCCAGGAATCCAGGCTTAAATAACTGACTTTTCAAATGTCCTGGGGCAGAGGAGGAGGGCGTCAGCTAGTCAGAAGGATCCATTTCTTCTGCTCTGATAAGAGGAGGGTAATCTGTTGAAGAAGTAAAGGCCCTCGTTGCTGTGTGTTACAGACCCAGCTTCCCAAGGTCTGCTCAGAGCACTGTCCTGCGTGGCCATTAGTGCAGGTGGTGTCACTGGTATTTGTCATCGACAGTGGACATAAGTCGTACAGACTGTCCATGTGACCCAAATAGGAAGGTGCTTTTAATTAACTGCTTTTCTCATTGTGAGATGAATGCAGGAAACGTAGGAAACTATGCTTTCTAATATTATGTTCTAGATATCAGCCACCAAGAGTTTATTTTAAAAGGATTTCAAAAATATTTACTGAAGTCATACATTACATTGTATTGTTTCGTTAATTTTTTTTAAATTAATGCCACAGATGGTGAACAGTTGAACAACATTTGAAGTGTCTGTCAGGAAAGCTGACAATATGTAGGGCACTCCTAAATCTAACACTGGGAAACCTTAAAAAAGCAGTTACATTTGTGAAGTTATAAAGCGTTGTATTTGCCTTCTGCTTTTGAATTAGGAAAACATCTTGGAGAGGATTCACTTCCACATCGTGCCCAGCCGGGACGCAGACATGTGCACCTCCAAGTGTTGCGTCAGCCACCAGAAGTTCGCCATGACGCTGTACGAGCAGGTGTGGCGCCCACCTCTCCTCTTAGACGCTGTGTTTGTGTTTCACGATCGATGAATTAAACATCTGTTTTCACCGCAGTGTGTGTGTCGTAGCTGTGGGGCTTCATCAGACCCTCTGCCTTTCACAGAATTTGTGCGGTACATTTCGACTACAGCCCTGTGGTAAGAACCTGGAAAGCGCCTTTCCCAAAGATTTAATAGCGCAGTGACGCACACCGAGCTTGTGTTTATAACCGCAGCATACGTGAGTATCTGCTCTGTCTGGGACTCAGCCTGCGACCATCAGAGGTACTAAGTGGTGTCTGTTTCAGTTGAATAGTTCCCAGCTAGCTAAATACATCTGTCACATAGTGAAACATACAAAATAGTAGTCAAAATTCATCCGTATTTACGTTTAGAGCCGGTTTTTGGAATTCTGAAGGAGGGCTTAGAATGACCGGCAGCCCTGGTCAGTGAGGCGCGTTTGGATGTTGTCCGATGCCCCGAAAGGTTCCCGGTTCAGTTCCGGGCCAGGGCGCAGGCCCGGGTTGTGAGCTCCATCCGGTGAGGGGCCTACAGGAGGCAGCCAACCAACACTTCACTCTTGCATCGACCTTTCTCTCTCTCCCTCTCCCTTCCTCTCTTGCTAAAAATCAACAAAAATATTTTTAAAAACTCACAAGTAAATGGTCAAGGACCTGCACATGACTTCTTAACTCTGGTTAGGTATCATCTTCATAGTGACTCGTCTCCTGTCAGCCCCACCGTGTCCCTTCATGGTAACAGACGCTGCGGTAAGCAGGAAAGAAAGACGTGAAAACAGCCCTCTGTTAGGTTTGCTGCCGTTAAGGCCACCCCACGCTCCTGGAATTCGCACGTGCCTGCCTCACCTGCCGCCTTCTGCTCGGCCCGCCCGCCAGACATTACTAGTTAGGGACCCAGGAGTATCCCAAGACTACGCAGCAAGAATTGTTTGAACACTTTCCACAGGTGTTGGGGAGTTTAGATATTTGATGTGTGCTAAACATTGAGTAAAGTCATAAATGTTTGCAGATATTTTAATACAGAAGCAAAACCTGGGTCAGCAATTCTCAGTCAGATGCATCAGTAGAGCAGCTGGTTCCTAAGGGCCAGCGGCTTGTCACCGTGCAGGTGAGTGCCAGGCGCACCTCCATGGCACTGCAGCGTCAGACCTCCTCCCTGGTTTGGACATAGCACGTTATTTCTTAAATATTATTGAATAATAGCAATTTGGTTATTCAGGTGTGTTCAGTGTCTGTCTTACATACACAGAGTTGGGGAACGCTGGTGTAAAGAAACATTCCCTAAACTTCAGTCATTTGTGGGCTCATTTTTTTTCACTTTGTATGAAAAGTAGGGTGGTTTTGAACAAGGAGAGACTGCACAAATTAAAACCTGTGAGATGTTGTCTACTCTGAAACTCCTCTCTGAGTGACAGTGTCCTGCAGCAGTCCCTGAGGTCAGGATCAGAGCTCCATCCATCTCTCCCTGGTCCATCTCAGCTCTCAAGAGCCCAGACTCTGAATTCTACTAGTCTCTTTTTATTGGTATTGAGTATTGAATACTAACTGTTGAGTGCTTACTATGTTCTAGGCTTTATATAAATTGTTACTTTAATCTTAACAAAAGTACTGTTTTGTTGATGAGAAATAGGTTTAATAGGGTTGATCTGGCAAATAGACCCGTTAGATTGGAAACCCCGGTGTGGTTGCATTTCAGGTTCAGTATTGCCTGGCTGCCCACTCCCCCGACGGCTGAGTCTGAGTGAGCCCGTCAGTGTTAGCTTTCCATACACGGTGAGGTGCTTTAGAAGAAAGGGAACTTCAGCTGTGCCAAATAGTGTATATTATTTAACCATTGAACTGCCAACTGTGCCCAGCTCGGGGACACTTGTGTTGAGTAGAGCCAGGGCATCTGGGATGGAAGCCAGTGAGGTACGTGAGCTGCATTACATTTCTCTTTGGAGATGTGTGAACACTTGTTTAAAGATACACTGTGTATGTAAAAAGTTGACTCCGGGGAGGCTGGATAAAAAGTGGCAGGTACCATGCCAGGCTCCGTGGAACGGTGAGCACGCCTGTAGGAAAGAAGGCGCCGCCCGTCGGGAGGGGCTGTGGCCTGACGTCTGCGGTCACCCGCAGCGGGCCCTGCGTTTACCGGGAGCGGTAACTGCTTCTGGGAGCCTCAGGCCGCAGAGGGAGCCTCTCCTACAATGTGCTGGTCTTGTCAGGTCCCAGTTTAGACGCAAGTCCCTTCGTAATTTATGCAATAACCGAAGTGATAGTGTAAAGAAGTGTTTGACTTGGAGCTGCCTGTAGACAGAGCGTCTTTCCTGGTTCATGCAGTGCCAGACAGCGCTGTGATGTCTGTGGTATTTTATCCTATTCTTGACCTGACTTTTTGTCATATACCTGCCAACTTTCATGGCTTTTCACTTTATGGAAATTTATGGTTAATTTTTTTACACAAAATCATGCTTTAAGACAGAAAAAGGGATCCTACGTATATTGATACCTTCGTGTGGTTCATGCACAATGTGCCGGGTTGTTTCAAGTTCGGCTCCGGATTTGGGACCGCTGTCTTCTTTTGTAGCAACGAGGTTGGAAGGATGACGGAAAGGCACGAGCGTGTCAAGCCCGAACTGTTCGCGGAGCTGCTGCAAGCGGCCAACACGGCGGACGACTACCGGAAGTGCCCTGTGAGTGCAGTCGGGCGGGTGCCTCCGCGCGGGTAGCTTTGAAAACAGTCAGAAATTATTGTGTCGTATTATCTATGGAATTAATTTTAAGAACTGTTTTTGCAGTGTTATTTTAGGTAACTACCGTGTGAGCCATTTATCTCAGCACTGTTTCTTTAGACACGCAACTTTTGTAGGACTTAAGGTAGCATATGTTCATTTTTTTAAAGTTCTGAAATCTATCATTTCACTAAAGACAAAATTAATTTTTTTCTTTAAACTTTACAAATGGTATCATTCTTTTCGGACATACTATTATTAATGATCCCAGGGGTTCTATTTCTGATTTTTATAGGCTGAATTCTAGTTTTAACAAACTTACAAAAATACCAAAGGAGGCACTTTGATTTATAATAAACTTCCTGTTTAATGAATAATTAAGAGAAAAATCGTTTGCTAGAAGTTTATTTTCGTGTGCTGAGGAGATACGTTTCCAATACACGTTAAGACCGTTACTGCGTAATGCAAACCATGAGAGGCACTGCCTGTGGCACCTTTTTCAGTAATTCCAAAACCTGCTGTCTGTATTTTTCTTTAGAGTAACTGTGGCCAAAAAATAAAGATTCGCCGTGTTTTAATGAACTGCCCCGAGATTGTCACCATCGGTTTAGTCTGGGACTCCGAGCACTCGGACTTGACCGACGACGTCATTCGGAACCTGGCACCTCACCTCTACCTGCCCGGGGTATCTCGGCCTTGCCATGCTCTTCCCTTTCGGTTTTAAATTCTCTGACACATCTTCTCTGTCATATTACGCTGTGTGTTTCAGAGTAAGTTTTCCCCGCAAGGAGTCATGTTCAGATGTCACTGACCGAGTCGACCCGTCAGGCTAGCTGGGCGCCTTCCTTGCGCGGGCCAGGGGCGGCTGTCCATTGTCAGCTGTCGCATGCGTCTCCGGAGATAGTGATACTGTTAGAAATACAAAGAGATTAAAAGTTCAGCTACAGCACTCGTCTCTTAAATGCTTACTACCATTTTAGTTAACTATTTTGAATTGGTTTATGTTACAGTTAAGCTTTTAGAGAATTAGATTTTTGGCGATAACGTTTAATGTACATTCAAGTGTGTGATTCAGTCGAGAATTATCAGAAAACGTGTGATTTATCTCGCACTTCAAGTCAGTCTTGCGTTGTTGGGGACACCGCATTACTGAGCTAAGTGCAGTGCGTTTGTCGGACGTTCCTGAGGGACACCTGAAAGGAGTAATTCTGCGGCCAGTGCCGTGTCCGTGGTGTTCCCACGTAGTATGACGTTGGATTAGGCAGCATGCGTGGGAGACATGTTTTACGGGGAGTCAGATACTTGACAGCAGATCTTCACTTTTAAAAATATACCGTACTAAATGTAATTATTGATTTTTTAAACAGCTTTTTTATAGGGTTACTGATGAAAATGCCAAGAATAGTGAACTTCACCTGGTTGGTCTGATCTGCTACACCAGCCGGCACTATTGTGCGGTCACGTTTCACACCAAGAGCTCCAAGTGGGTGCTGTTCGATGATGCGCACGTGAAAGAGGTAGGGGCTCCCCACGAGCGGGCACTCACTGTGACGTGCCCTCAGGGAATGAATGGCACAGCAGCATGCGTATAGTGTTACAGGGACAAAATGAAGATGTAATTATAAACAGTGATGATATGTAAATGTTTATAGAAAATAGGAAATGAATTTAATAATAGTTAATTCTTGAAGTCCTTTTATTAATTTTTGAAACCTGGTTTATTCTGAAGCTGACTTCATTTCTGGAACAACAGGAAGGTGACAGGTGACTGTTAGCATGCAGCTAGTGTCGCTCTCCGGGATCGCGTGCGAGTCCGTCTGTCTGTTACCTTGTGTATTATTTCTTCGTGGATGATTCATGATTGCTCTGTATAGCTAGTGATAAAAATCTGCTCGTTGGTTTTTTTGGTTGTTTTTTTATCTCGTCTTTTCACACGGCGTGTCTGGTATTTGGAATTAGATATATCAGCTCTGTCTTTCGGGAAGTAGTATACTCAACACCGTAACAATATCCAAAAACCTAGTGAGTAATATCTTAAGAAGGAATATGTGCCAATCACCGGGGGAGCTTTTTAAAAAACCTATAGGAGCCCTGGCCGGTTTGGATCAGGGCTAGAGCATCGGCCTGTGGACGGAAGGGCCCCAGGTTCGATTTTGGCCAAGGGCACGTACCTCGGTTGCAGGCTCGATCCCCGGCCCCGGTCGGGAGGCAGCCAGTCAATGTGTCTCCTCACATCGGTGTTCCCCTCTCTGTCTTTCTCTCCCTTCCACGCTCTCTGAAAAAGCAATGGGAAAATATCCTCAGGTGAGGATTCAAAAAAAAGTTTAAAAAAAAAAAGACTTGGATTTCAAGAACCCTGCGCGCCTGGGCCCTTGGATCTTGGTTCAGTGGCGTGGGGCAGGCGCCCGAGTTTGTTCAGGGTCCACAGGGGTCCGGCTTCACACGGCTGAAAGCTGGCGACCTTGTCTGTACTGTTCTCAGGCTCGTTGGCTTTGAGAATCCTACTATTAAGCAGTAAACTGATTTAAAAATACATGTTATTTCATTATTAGAAGCAAATGATGTACAATTTCATTTACTTTATTTTGATATGTAACAAAAGGCATTTATCAGCAATGCAGTTTACTAGGTCAGTAGAAGTTCAAATGCGTGGTATTTATTAGAGCTCCGATTCTGCGCAGGAAGGAGCAGCTGCTGTGAAAATAGCCCCTCCTGTGCTGTAAGTAGAAAACCGAGTAGATGAAACAGCTGTTTTAGACATAGGGCAGCAGGCAGTTGAACAGAAAAAAGGGACACAGTGGAGGTGAGCCCCACGATCATCCCTCTTACTGCCTGGGGGAGTTTCTGGTTGTAGTGCAGGGAGGGGAGCCCAGATCAAGCCCCGTAGCCTCAGTGAGCGGAGGAACCCGAAATCGGAGTCCAGTGAGGCCACGAGAGCTGATTTGCTGGACAGATTACCAGAAAGAAAGTCACACAGAGGGAAGTTCTGGAGGGTGGCAGAGGGCCCCCTTTCGTCTTTGCTGAGCAGTGATCCGCCGTGTGCAGGCACCTGCCAAGGTGAGGACAGAGGCACTGGGAACAGGCCGGGCGGTGCCCAAGGCTCACACAGGCCGGGAGCGGTTCGCATCCCCGCCAGCAAGAGTGGAGACACGTACACGGGGCGTCTCGTGAGGAGGAGCTGCACCCTAACAGCACGGCTGGCTTGTCCCCAGACTGAAGATGCTCCACCCCCGACGTAAAAAGCCTAAAATGAATCTTCACAGGACCAGGCGGCACATGTGGCCACCCCAGATCAGAGTCACTGCTCGTAAAGGAACACAATGAAACTCAACGCCCCAAAATGCAAAATTTAATAAAATTTCCATATGCCATTTCAAAATAGCATTCAACACAAAGTTACTGAACATGCAGAGGAGGAAAATCTGACCCTTACCCTTGAGGAGTGTTACCAGAGCCGAGGGGCCCCACCAGCTCTGTGCTAGTCATGGGACCGGTGGGGGGCGCAGGGAAGGGAACGGGGCACGAGCTCGGTTCCCTCCGGAGCTTCGTCAGCACCTCAACAGTTGTGACTGGCACCGGCGGTTCCAGACCAGCTCAGATACTAAATTCCTTAAAAAAAAGACAAAGAATGATGGAAGCACCAGACGAGAACCTTAAACTACCGTGTGCACAGAGATGTAGTAGGTAACAGCCGAAGCGCACGGACCACGAAAATAACCGACGAGCTGGACTTTACCAGAACTTCTGCGCTTCAGCGTGACGCTGTCGGGGGGAAGAGGCGGGTCATACACGGGGGAGATACTTGCCGAGCACTAATTAAGGCTACATCCCAGATACGTGAAGAACGCTTACAACTCAATAGGGAAAAGAGAAATCAGTTTAAAAATGGGCAAAAGATTTGGACAGTTCACCAAAGATCAGTGAGTGGCCCTTGAAATGGTACTCAGTGTGATTGGGCTCAGAGGGAACCGGCGGTCAGGCCCGCTGAGGCTCACGACCCAGCCGGTAGAGTAGCTGCGGTTCCGAAGCCTGAGCTCACCGAGGGCCGGGGAGGGTGCCACGTAGCCAGATCCCTGGCGCGGGCCCGTGGACACGCAGCCTCCAACAGTCGCTTTAGAGGTGCGTGTCAGCTGCCCGCAAACGGAAACTGCCCACCACGCAGCCTGGCGGCTCCACTCCCCGAGCACGCGTCCACACAAAGCTTGTACCCAGTGGATGTAGCTGGTGTCTTATTCCTGATGACCCCACGTGGACACAATCTGACGTCCATCAGCAGGTGAGAGGGGAACCGAGTTGTGGGCCCGGCACACACTGGGACCACATGGTCATCAACAAACAGGAATTAACTACACACGCCTGCAAGTGCGGAAAATCTCAAACATTATGCTGACGAAAGAAGCGAGACATAAACGACTAAGGACTGTGATTCCACCTCCATGAAACTAAAATAGGAGAAAACCAACGGGCGGAAGGTTGCCTGCCAGGCACTGCAAAGGGGGCACTGGAGGCGGGCCGAGGACGGCGTGGCTGTGTGCATTTGTCAGGGCCCTGGACTCGTGCAGAGCCTGGGTAGTTTTATTTCCTGTAAACGACTCTCTACAGCCAACAAAGAAATTCTGGTGTTTGTATCCTAAAATCAGCTCTTGGCTCGAGTTCCTTCGGACTTTGTTTAGCAGCTAATTAGGAGGAACCAGGCGAATCCACGTGGAGTGTGCCTCGGCCACCCTGCTTTGCACCCACGTGGTTTAAGTCGTCAAAACTTGACAGAGGAACTGGGTGTATAGTCGCCCTGTGAGTTTTGTGTGTTTTGCTTTCAAGTTCCTCCAGTTCCGCAAGTATCTCAGCATCTCAGGTAAAGAGGGTCAACAGCCAAGTGTGTGTAGTTTGAAAACCTCAGACTTTTTTACGGCCCGCCCTTCCTTGCAAAAGCCAACATTCTTAGAATGCTTTGAGTTTTGTTTTTAAAATCGACTTTCTAGAGATATAATTTAGAAACATTAAAATGCACCCATTTTAAGTGTATAGTTTGTTTGGCCACTGTATACACACCTGTGTAACTTCCACAGCCCTATAGAACGTGCCCACCCCAGAATCGTGCCGTGTTCCCGTGGAGCCCCCTCCCCACCCTGGGCCCCAGGAAATCACGGATGTTACTGTAGGTTCGCTGGGCTCCCCCTTCAGCGTTGTGTGAACGGTCTCCCAGCGTGTACCCCTCCGAGCCTGGCTCCTTCCCTAAGCACACGGCCCTTTAAGGCGGCGCCTGTGGTGTGCGTCTCTGCCTCGCGTGCTGGCGGTCCGGATAGAACAATGCACCGTTCACCCGGTGAGGTAGGAAGAGCCTTGGTGTGAACACCTTTTCCCATTGCCCTTCAAGAGCCCCCAGGGTGGGACTTGTGGACGGCCTGGTGTGTGCAAGCCTCACGTGGCCAGAGCCGGCGCCGGCCCCTCCCTCCCGGCAGCCCTCCCATCGCAGGCCGTGCTGGTAGCCTTCTGCTGTAGCTTCCCAGTGGCGGCAGCGTTGTCACTGTGGTTTTCATCACATTTCCCTTATGATCAATAGTGTTTTGAATAACTTTCCATGTGCTTATTGGTCATTCTTACATCTTTTTGGTGATGTCTGTTCAGATGCTTTGGCCATGTTGAAATTGGATTGTCGTCTTGATGAGTTGCAGGAATTCTGTATTCTGCACATTAGACCTTTATTAGATGGATGTGGGTTTTTTCATTTTCTTGATGGTGTTTTTCACGGAGCAGAAGTTATTCGTTCATCTCACCGACCCCCGCTTTGTAATGCTGTCTTTGGTTTGTTTGATGTCCTGGGTAAGAAATTTTCCTTCCCAGAGTTAAGGTTTTCTCTCGTCTTCTGTGTGCTCTGAAGATTTTACATCTCCTGCTGAGCTAATTTGGGGCCTCACGCGTGGCTGTGTAACTTTCCCTTTTGCGTCCGCTGCTGTAGCATCATCTGCAGAATCGGCCTTACTGCCCCCACTCAGTCGCCCCGGAATCTCGGCCAGAAGTCACAAAGTCAGTTGACCGAGTGTATGTGGAAAGCTTTCTAAAATGTGCTCATCTAAATCTTGGTATAGAGATTGGATAATTTTGCCCATCACTTTTTCAATATTAATGTTTAAAGATTTTTATTTAGAATAGTCACTAAACAAAATAAAGTTAATCATATAATACAGTGCGCCCTTGAACTGCCAGCATCTCAATGTCTTTAAATTTTTTAATATGCAAATTGTCTGCCTTTTCATGTAACACGTCAGTTACAGGCTTTGTTTTCCTTTCACTGTGGTTTTGTAAAGGTCGGGACGAGATGGAAAGATGTGGTCTCCAAGTGCATCCGGTGCCACTTCCAGCCCCTGCTCCTGTTCTATGCAAACCCGGACGGCTCGGCGGTTTCCACTGAGGACGCGCTCAGGCAGGTCGTCAGCTGGTCACATCAGAAACCCGGAGCAGAGAACACGGGTAATTCTTTTCTTTTTTTAACGTAGCATTTTTTGGTTATCACAATCACACTAGGAATACTAACAGACTGAATATAAAATTAATGTTGAGGATAATTTCAAAATTTAGTTTAAGATGGAGTTCAGGAAGATTCTAGTACTCTGAGTTAATCTCTATGATCTTTCTTCACCAGTGGCCTCAGAGGCACCCCCAGGAGCCCCGTGACTGTGGTCACGTGAGCACAGAGGGGCTGCTGGCTGGTGGCTCTTTCTGGCGGTAAATTAGGGATTTAGAGTGAGTGAGTACACTGAAAAAGCCCAGAGCAGCAGGGCCATTCTTGTGTGCATTGCAAAGCACGTAGAAACTCTTAGAAGATGTCAGTCCTCTACATTTTTAAGTAATTTTGTCTACAGTGTTAAAAATATCTGAAAAGTGATTCAAACTTTTCTGCTGGTGGGAGGAGCAGAATTTTGTGTGTTTTGCTGGTGGGATGATGTATTTGTGTTTGTCTTTTTAAGGATGTGAAAAGCCCTCCATTTATCAGTCAGATAACCCAAAAGAAAATGTATTTGGTGATCAGGTCAGACAGAGAGAAAATCAGAAATTTCAGACAGATGCTATTTCATCATTTAGTCGGAGCCACGTTCAAGCAAGTGGTGGTCGAGAGCCAGTTATGTGCGTAAATTGTCATTTTCACGTGGCCAAGGAGTTGGGCTTGCTCTGTGCTCCGCTTACGGAATCTCATTCCTGGAAGGGACCCGGGAGAGCATGAACATGTAGATCACAAAATGTTGTCTTAATAGCTGCGTGTCTCTGACACCTGTGGTTCCATCTGGACGGTTTGACTCGACCAGTGTTTGCGTTCCCCGCGCACACTGGGCTGTCGTCGGCTGAGGCCGCCTGGACTGTTACCAAGAGAAGTGCGGCCTCTCCTGTAAGGTGTTCGTTACGGCCTTGCAGAGGGAAAGTACGAGTTAATGATTTGGCTCAGAATTAAGTTCACCATCAGTGAATGCACCAGCAGTTCAGTTACTGCCTTAGGTGCTCTACCCCATTTTGATTAAACTCTCGTTACTGTCATCCCAGAATTCAGTTTTCACAAACCAAGTTCAGTGATGGGTCCAGAGGGAGACGCCACAGTGTGACGTGCAGCTGCTGCTTAGAAATACCCCGACCTGCGCTTGGACGGATGTTTAGGATGATTTTTAAGCAGCTTATGGATATGTACCATAGAGGTAGCTCGTAATCAAGGGTGGTAAGATTCAGAGTTAACAGTTCTTATCAACAAAGAAGTGAGTCGGGACATGCAGTGGCATCACGGCCCGTTAGCTCTCATTTCAACAGAAGGGCCCATTACACTCGCTTCAGACGCTCTGCACTGTAATGTGTATTTTGTTTTTACTAGATAGCATCTTAAATATTTTATATAGTTCAGTTTGTGTTTTTATTGAGCAATTGGAAAATGGTCTCTTTATTATTGTAAGACTGGCTTTTCTTTTATAGTTAAGCCAGGTCACAGTGACCAAAGGGAAAAAATGAAGGACATTTCCAGGGAATGTGCTCTGAAAGCCCTGGAGCAGAGACACACGCTGTCCACACAGAGGCGAGATTCGGGTCGACAGAGAGGTAAGCTAAGGGCCGTGGCACTCCTTTCGAAAGGGGGCTGCTAAAACCAGATTTGAAAACTGAATTTTATAATTCTAATACAATTTAACATAGTTTTAAGTATATTTACTATTTGTATTTTTTTATATATATATATCAATATGATTCCTCTGATACACTTACTAAATCTGTAAATGTAAAATTTCGTAGTTCTTATTTAATTCTAGCCTGGAATACTAGTGTTTGCCGTTTTAACTTTTAATTAAAAGTTAAATGAATAAAAGTTAATTTTTAATTAAAATCAATTTAGGTTCACTCACGTGGTGTGTTCAGCTAATGGGGAATGTTATAAAAGTAAGTGACAAGAGCTCCTTCTCCTGGGGCCCCGACCCCCGGTCCCCGTCATCAGTCCCGGCTCGCTATGAGCCCACCCTGCCCGCAGTTTTACGCGCTTTCTTATGGACATCAGAGCTTAACTGAGACTGTGGGCTGTGGAATTGGTTTAAGGTTTCCTCTGCAGTGACGTCCTCCACGTTCACCTTGTGCACTGAGTGTAGCCGTAGCGCAGAATTCTTTCAGGAGAATTGCTGGGCTGGGGGCGTCTGCTTTGAACACGGTCCCTGTGGCTCGGTCGCCCCCTAACGGGACCGTCCGCAGTCCCGCCGCAGCGATGGATGCTGTCGGCGCTCACGGACCTTTGACTCCCCCAGTAGGAGAGGCAGAAAATAGTTTCATTTTCATGATTCTTATTAGTCATGAGTGAGATGGAATACTGTTTTTTAAACGAATTATCTTATGATCTACTGTAGAGATCATTTTTAAAAACCAGTACCTAACCAGGACTTGAGCGCGTGATGTAACTGGCGCTCTCCTCTCGCTGCTTAACGTCCCCCCCAAGCACGCTGGCTGCTTGTGACTGAAGGTGGCTCTGAAGAGCAACGTGTCTTCACTTACCTATTTCTTCTTAAAGATGTGCTTGGTGAGGACCTTCCGCATGGCAAGCCTGGATCCCCCCCTGCCCCAAACGGCCTCGGGCGGTGTGGCAGCCAGGGCCGGGGGCCCTGCCGACAGGCCCCGCTCGCCCAGCAGAGCCGAG